TAGTTCTTAAAGAATATACCCGATTTTTAACTCATGTGTCCACCTTGCTACTGCCATCTCAAGAGGAAAAATTCTGATCATCCCAAGTAACCACCAGGCTTAAAGTCCCTTCAAATTTAGGATAGAGACAGAAACTGGCTCTTTGGGTGCTCCTCCTTTGGCTTTCTGAGCAATCCCCACAAATCCCGCATTGTTTCCACAAAAGAGAAATTCTCATTTGATGAAAAGATAAAAGGAGGTGATGGAAATTATTTACCCTTATTTGGACGAGTGCTTCCAACAGCTAAGAAGATATACCTCTTCCCTTCCTGGGTCCCTGCTGTAAGAATTCGGCTGCACTCTTCAGAGCACCTCGACAACCAAGGCAGGCGACGCAGATTCGCTGCCCAAGCCTGAGAGTTCTGGTGGGCAGGAAGGAACTGAAGTGCTATCTCATCTCCTCAGTAAATGGTTTGGCCCTGAGGTCAGTCTCCCTCATGCCCATGTGGCCAGCTAAACTCCACCCGAAGCAGAGGATAAATTATTACCTTTAAGATTAGATGAACACAGAATTTAAACTATGGCCTTAAACTAGCTAGGGAATAGCGGGCCCGTAAAGATTGCCCTATAGTCTGTGGGGTTCTGTGCAAAGGAAGGTCCAACAGAAGCACACAGTGCATTCAAATAAGCTTTATGCAAGAAAACGCAAACATGAATCAGTTTATGAGGTGAAAGGGGGCAAAATAGGATGACTAGTATGTTCCAGAAAGAGGGAGTGTTGATGCCGGGGCTGAGCTTATCCAAACTGTTAGGGCCAGGGCAGGTTTGCATGGGTTAAGCAACTGCCTCTGGCTTGAATTTATCCAAAGAGTGGCTAACACAACATTTTGACTTGATGTACTTTATAGATGTTAGAACTCAAAACTTGAATTCTTAATGGGCACAGTAGAGAAAATCCTACAAAGGTAAAGTTTTTCTCTTATGCCTATTGCTCAGGTAAATGACGGGCAAATTTTTGAGAAAGTTATTTCAGGGCCAGATGTCCTCCTGGAAAAGATGGTGGGGTACCTGATATTCCATTCGTTTCCTGTAATACATGAGAAGGGGCCGGGAGATGGCTCAGTAGGATAAGTGCTTCCCTGGCAAACACAAGGGCCTGAGTACAATACATGAGAAAATTTTGAGTCTCTTGGCAGAATGTTCTGGGCACCACAGCAGTCATTTGCGTAACAAGTTTAACTGAAGAGCAGGCAGGCTGTCCAGGAGCAGGGCCTGCTTTCTGACTCACTCATCTGGAAGAATACGGAGCACTCAGCAAGCATCAGCAATTTTTGTTATACTTTCACTTTATAAAGACCACACCAGGACCTTAGGTTCTGGAGGTTGAGCTCAGTCTTTCCCTAGTGTCTGGGTAGTGTGTGTGTGTGCACAGGTACCAAGTAAATCATATTTTAGAAATACAATTTATCTTAGCATATTGCCTTTAAAACTCTAAGACTCAAAATGTTATGTTTTGTTTCCACGGATCTAACAAATGATAAAGCTTTAGAATCTAGGCCTTAATAGAATTCTACATCTTAAATATTGTCTACGGTTTGTGCAGGTAAACTGGCTCACAATGCTGTTAATCCAAAATTAATAAGGTAACTTGATAGATTAACAATAGAGCTTATTTTGATACCGTGGAAATTTTATTCAGAAATTTATACAGTGAGATAATTCCGTCTTGGTGTTTATATATTAAGGGAGCTAAAATATTACTTTTAAAACCCCCCAAATTCATGGTCTTGCTTCCTAAGCAATAATTTCTATAGATAATTTTTATTCACATTTCATAACAGGCACAAATAAGTCTCATGATTAGCATAAGTTCATATCTAAAAATAACTGTTGCCACCGTAGTACATTTCTAAGGTGTGACAGCTCATGAGGGGAATTAAATTCATGATGGGAATTCCAGGACCCAACCCACTGCCTTCCGCAGAGTAGTGCCCACAGACAAGCCGCAAGGGTTCCAAAGGCCAGGGGTCACTGCCCTTGGAGTTGGTGGGGACCTCACTAGTAGTCAGAAAACTCAAAAGGCAATGAAGAAGAAAGATTAAAGTCGCTCTTCCTGGCGCTTGCCCTAAGTGGCTTTACAGATGCCCTGTGGAGTCTCCCAAATGGCCTACTCTGAGCATTTTTCACTAGCAAGAACAACAGGGTCCTGTATACTCTTTCATAAGATTCTGTACAAATCCTGTAACCACGGAGTCCTCCTTTGTAGAGCATTAGTGTAATTTCCTACAAAGAGACAGATTTTTTAGAATCTCAGTATCTTAGTAAAAAGTAGATGGAGAAGTTTGGTTTACAAATGAAGAAATGGAGGCTCAGAAGCTGGGCTGCTGAACAGGAACCTCTGCGCCGCAGGCTGCGCCAAGTCCTAAGTCAGGTCCAGTGACCCAACGCTGGCATCCAGTGTCAGTCTGTGCGGTTTTTAATTCAGTCCTTGTACCATCTCCACTGTCCATCAAGGCTGAGTTCTTTCACTCAGAAAGCACAAAGGAGCAGCCAGCCCTCCCTGTGGGGGTGGTGTAGGCTACGGCCAGACCACAGACTCGGTCAAAACTGTGCAGTAGCATTTGGAACGGATGAGCACCCTGTGGAAATGGCAGAGAGTAAGACCTCGATTTGCCCCTCTTTTGGTCTCTCCACAAAATCCAACACTGCTAGGAAAAGATGAAATTTGAGTACACAGAAAGGCACTGAAAACCTAAGTTGTTCACCCTCCGTAAGAGAAGCTTAATGACATTACCTTATAACATAGGCAGTTGAGCTTAACCTCGCTATCTGTCTGAATATCAAACATCTTAGACACAACATGGAACATGTATTTTCCATCAAGTATTGATATTTTAAACTGTAAATCCCTACAGAATGTGAAGAAAAAAAAAAGAAAAAAAATGCTGAGCTGGCTCAAGTCAACAACTTCTGACATTGACAGTCCAAGAGATAACCCACTACTCTTATGGACTACTGGACTATGTTGGATTATTTTGCTGAATTCATGCACCTACAATATTTAAGTGGCAATGGAACGCCCATCTCTGACAAAACTAAACAAAAAAGGGGGATACAAATGAAAGACCATTTTGTATCTTTATATACATAATAGGATAGATATACAGCTACTTTCTCTTAATTCAATGAGAAGGAAGATTTGTACTAATAGTGTTTAGACAGGATAGCATGTCTACATCTTGTACTATGAATAACCATGATGAAGACAACAATATGCAGTGTATTAATTAATGAAACTGTCCTACTAATTGGTTTTGAAACTGTCTCATTGCTATTTGTTTCTCAATAAAATTAATTTAAAATAAATAAATAAATAAATAAATAAATAAATACAAAATCTAAACTGGAAAGAAAAGAAAAGAAAGAAAGAAAGAAAGAAATGTATTAGCACAGAAGCCTGGCAGAGCAGGGGCCTGCAGACCTGGAACACCCCATAGTATGCCAAGAACAGAAGTGTGGTCTGAGCCCTCTATGGCTATACTGTGGCACATAAGGTCCTCAAAGGGCCACGTTTTGAATGCTGGTCCTCAGCTTGACATGAATGGCAGGGGGTGGAGCCTAAAAAGAGGTGGAGCCACGTGGAAGGAAGTTTGGGCCCTGGGGCTTCTCTTCCCCCTTAGCTTCCTGGCTGCCCTGAGTTGAGCAGTGTCCTCTACCACATACCTTCAACACCTTCCCCCAGGGCAGCTGACAGGGTCAGTAGCCCACTGGCTTCAACTTCTCAGACCATGAGCCAAAAGAGATTTGTCCTCTTTCAGTTGGTTGTCTCAGGTAAGCTTTATAGTAATGAAAAGCTCACTAAAGCAAGTGCCGGAGCCTGTGAGATAGCACAATGGACTAAGCACCTGCTTAGGCAAGCGCAGGCACCAGGGTTCAATTCCCTGGTATCTCTGTTGCACCAGCCCTGCCCCCTCGACACACTGAGCCAGCCACCAAGATCCGGTGTGGTGGCACATGCCTATAATCCCAGTGCTGGGGAGGCTCAGACAGGAGGATCACTGTGAGTTCGAGCTGCGTAGTGAGACCCTATACCAAATACATTAAAAAAACAGTGCCAATCCTGCAGAGGAGCAAATGCCTCTTGATCTTGCCCAGCAGGCTCCGTTCATTCTGTCCAGCCATGAATTGAGGCGCTAAATGCTCTGGTCAACAGGACATGGAAACACGGGGGCAGCACTGGCCATGGGAGATCACCACACCCAGCCCACGTACATGAGCACACCTGTAAATACAGGTAATCAAACCCTAAGGAACTAAAAGTTCAGGTACTTTCATAAAATATTTAGAAATAAACACTATTATTGCTTTCATTGGTATTCAGAAAGCATTTGGAGGATTTCTCCCAGTTTTTAAATCTGTATCCCAATCATCTAGCTTCATTGCAAGGAGGCAAGGAAGATGTTTCACAAGAAATTAATCTGAAGTGGAACAGCAACTACTGTATGGGTGTGTTGTTTGTGTGTGCATGCATATGTGTGTGTGTGCACGCGTGCATGCATGTGCACATACGCGCACATGTGTGTAGGAGATTCAAAGACTCTGGAAGCGTCTCTTGAAGCAGTCCCTGTTTGTTTGTTTTTTTTTTCGCTAAATGAGCTATTCTATTCTCTTGCTCCTACCCTTTGCCTCTTACTAGGCTGCTCTGGAAAAAACAAAATGAATCTAATGACTTAACCTTCCATGTGCTTGGCTTTAGGACAAATGGCAATATGTTCTCAGATTTCAAGTTTCAATAGAAATCGTAACGGTCCCACTAGGAGTCACGGTCTCCAATCCTGCCAGCAGTTGTTTGTGTGTGTGTGGACCGGCAGAAGCGTAAATGCTCCTGTTGTATGGTCGAGGACACCTGGACCCAGAGACAAGAACGCTCAGGCAGAGTGCGCCAGGAAAACTCTGAGAACCACACGGAGCTAGAACCGAGGTCCCGGTCCCCTTTGTCCCACAGCAGCAGTGGTACTCACGTCATGATGTGAGTGTCCACTCCGGCCTCCACCAGCGCACCGTCCACGAAGAGAGGAAGCAGGGTGAAGCCATACTTGTCCCAGGAGCGGCCCTCGTCAAAACTCACCCTGGGGGGGGACACAAGCACGCGAAAGTCAGCTGCAAACAAAGCCTCATGGTCCGGCAACTCCTCAGCTTATGAACTTTCGCTCAGTCGCTATCTCCAGCTGGCTGGACTATCTGTGGTATTAATCATCAACACCTCCTTGCACTATTATGAAACTGGATCAAAACTGCATTTCCTGGCCGAGGCAGAGACAGACGAACTAGAGAAATATTTCAATGCAGTAGGATGGAGAAAGCCACCCACACAGGAGGGCTTAGCAGACCGAGTGTCACACTGCAAGCATGCAGAATGAAAGCTGAGGTTCAATTTACAGCACAATCAATCCGACCCTTGGAGTTTCTGACACAGACAAATTGAGTAGTGAGGCGCAGACCCTGTAGGCAGGGGCTTGTGTGCCTTTCAGATCAAACTTTAAAATAAAAGTAATTTCCTACTTATTCAGGGTGGATGGTGGGGTGACCTTCCCTCCCCAGTGCCACTCTAAGGAGTTGCGAGGAGTAACTGTTGGAGTGGCCCAGACGCTCTGAGAAGCACTGCTCCGCCTTTCGACCAACCATAAGAGGAGAGGTGATCCTGGTGCAGAACCCTCTCCTCTGTAAAGACTGCTGGCAGGGCACGGCTCGGCAGAAATTCTGGGCTCGTGCTGAGTCCTCCCTTGATGGCACCAAGCTGCTCTGGGTCCTTCGCCTCCACCCGGGACACAGCCCCAGGACTGCCTCCTCTGGGGCGCTCTTCCGGACACCACCATGTCTTCCTAGGACAGCTGTGGCTTCGCCGCCTTCTGCGCCCCTCCTTGTCCTGCAGATCCTTTGCTCATCCCAACTCCACAGCTTTGGCTTTGGACTCTCCCACACTGGTGTGCTCACCATATGCAGGCCTTCTACTGCGCTTCTGAGCCGTGACTTAGCTGGTTTTGAGTGCCCTCTGCTCCCGCTAGTGGCCTCTCAGAGCCCAGGAAGCACCTGTGATTCACAGGGTGGCCCCTTACTGCCACAAATGCACCTTTATTAAAATTTCTTCCTTTATAGCACATAGGTATTTTTGGAAATTATGTCTGACTTCCACTACAATGACCTTTGGAAGGTCCAGAACCACCCCATTCATTTTTATATTCCTAGTATGTTGCAGGCCATCTGGCACCCAGCTGATACAGCCTAGGTGTCAGCGAATGAATGCACGACAATGGAAAGGAGTGAGGCAGGAAGGGCCCTCCTTAAGCCCATTCCAGTGTGATCTGGCCTGCCATCCATGAGGGAATCTGTTTCCTTATTAACAGCTCCCATGCTGGGTCCACTGAATGCTCCTGCTGATCTGTCTCTGTATTCTTCTCAGTCTTATCCACTCATTCCTAATATATAGATTTAAAACAATAGCACAGTCCACCTCTCTTTCTCCATAGTAACCAGTTTCTTGGGCAATTTTTGTATTTGTGGTTTACCTAGATTCATACCCACAAATGGAAAGTAGATAATCCATCATTAAAGCATTGCAGGTGATCTAAATGACAGCATCTGCTTGAAATTTTAAGGACCTGGTCACTTGAGCTTTTAAAAAAAGGTTGAAGGTTAAATAATCATGGAAGTGAATTCTGAGACTGTTGGGAAGGTATAAACCACTTTTCATAGAAGTGAGTTGAAGGCAGAATCAAAAGAAGTAAAAAAGAAGGTGGATTGAGAATAAACTTCATCTCGTTGCCCGTGTAGCCCAGAGGCTCTCAAAGAAACCAGAGTTGTTCGAAGAATACCACAGCCACTAATGGCTGACTCTACCTGGAATGCACAGGAGACAAGCTTTAGTGTTTTCTGTTTATTTTGGTAGACTTCATACAAATTGGATTTTTGTCTTGACAGACAGAAATCAAAGTGAGTTTAAGGCCTCTCTCCTTGTCTACTTCTCAGAATTTCCACACCAGTTTCAGCATTGTCGGTTACTGGCATTAGCACAGTGCATGTTGCCAGCACCCCAAGGACGGGAGCCCACAGCCCACTGTCGGCACTGACAGGGCCCAGCACAGCCAAGCCTACTTCACGCTGGGGCATATGTAACGGTTGGTATGTTGTGTCAACCTGAGAACTGAGGAGTTTAGAAGATTATCGGAATGACTCAGCAGAGGGCCAGGGTCGTCTTTTTGTGAACATCCTGAGTCGGTGCAAAAGGAGGGCTCAGGAAGGGTGTGGGCGGGTAGCAGAGGGCACAGTACACAAGGAGGACAAGTGGCTCAGTCCCCCCTTTGGAACTTGCTGCCTTTGCTGTCTTCTGCCACCTTGAAATCCTGCCCCTCACCATGCCACCCTGCTGTGGAGCCAGTCCTGTATGGACTGAAACCTCCACCAACCTTTCCTTCCTCAATTATGGGTGTCTGGTGTTTTGTCTCAGCAACGAGAGAAAAGTAACTGAGAGAGCATACAGCAAGGGCCTGCACAGCCTTCCAGCGTGAAGACAAGTGCTCCGGGGTAAGGACACACCGGGTGGGGAGAGGAAGTACAGAAGAGCGTGAGCATGCTGCGGAAAGGAGTCCGACGGGAAGGCGCAGACGCCTGGGCCAGAGCATGGAAGGCAGCAGCGGCCAGCTGAAGACCAGAGGAGGAACTCTGAGGTAACCTATGGAATCGGAGCCTGGGGGAGAGCGTGACTGGCCCACATCTCCAGATCAAGGTGAGGGCCGACTCCTGGGACCCTCGCCTGCCTACCGGCAATGCACACTCTGGAGCCCAGACTGCACCACAGGGTGAGTTACTCAGATCAGTAATTTGTAACTCTTGACTACTTCGAAACCTCCCAAGGAAACTCTGACGTGGTAACAGCAATCTTTATCTTTTGGTTATCAGACATTTCCTTAAGGAGAGCCTGGCACTTCTGAGTGCATTCTTTTTGATTATTAGAACTTCTTAAATTTTTCTTAGGTAACTATATGGAGGGTGTCCTCCAAAGACCCACAGTCTCCTCCTCAGATCAATAGCTCATTAATGTCCGAGGCTAAGGAACTAGGAATGCCTTAATATGTCAGTAGGTGAAAATGAAACCAGTAGGGTTGCCAACACCCAGGGAGACAGGAGCAGACTTCCGACTGACCTCAAAGAGTGGTAGAACAGAATCAAAAGAAAATATACTACATGTACCAATAGTTAAGCACCTACTACGGGCACTAGTTGGAGGGACACAGACAGAGCAAGGAGGGAGAGCTCTTTCCTGCTAGGGAATTTATATTCTAGTCTAAGAACAAAACAACATGCAAATAAGTTGCTAGAAAGGTAACAGTTAGAAACAAGAGCCATGACAATTAAACTGATTTGCTAATGACCATATGACTACTTCATAGTAAGTTCTTAAATTGTTGAGAAAGCCCTGCCTAAGTTGTGACACTTAAATTGAGGCCTGAACAATAACAAGCCACTGCATAGGCAAGGATGTATAGGAAAGGGAGCCGCCCTGCAGGAAGGCAGGGAGACGGTCAGTGGTGAAGTTTCTGGAAGGGTGCAGGCTCAGGACAGGGCAGCAGCCGGATCCTGAAGGACTCTGCAGACTGACTGGGAGCGATACGAGTTGATCCACACTGTTACAGACACCTGTCACTTCTCTGTGGTGAACAACTGCCGTGATCCCACATTCTCTTGGTACTTTTTTAGGCTTAAGTCAATGTTGTCATCCAGGGTTACAGGTCCCCCTTGCCTCTGCATTGAACTTCCATGGCATATAAAGGAGTGGACCACCATCCTGAGCCAGTTTAATTAGGCGTCAATTCACACTTTTAATTTTTTATGCAATCTGATAAGTAGATGAGCCAGATTTAAAATTCTTAAAGGCACATTTATTGTAAAGGATTGCTATGTATTAATACTGCAGTTTTCAATAAAGATTGACTTTTGTTTCTTTTTCCATAATTCTATTGAGAAATAAATAGCAATGAGACCGTTTCAAATCAAATTGGTAGGACAGTTTCAATAATTAACACATTGCATACTGTCTTCCTGTGGTTATTTGTTGTACAAGATGCACACGATATCCTATTTACAAACACTATTAGAACAAATCCCTCTATTACTTGAATTAAAAGAATGTAGCTATATATCTATCGTAACCATTTTGAATACACAGTTACGACATGGTCATTCATCTATATCCCCTTTTTTGTTTAGTTCCATCATTTAAATATTATAGGTGTGTGAACTTATGTTGCAAAATAAAAACAAAGTTCATGTTCAGGGAAGGATGTGGGTTGGGGATGCAGGGCGGCCGAGGTGATTACGAGAGACGCAGTTAGAAATGCGGCTTGGGTGACCGCCGCAGTAGTGGAGGAGAGAAAATGGAGAGAGGTAAGGTGCTTTCAGAAGTGAAGTCAACAGGGTTTGGTGGTGAAACATACACGGGCTGCATAAACAGAATCAGTGAGTTATGGAAGATACTGCTGGGGGTTAAGCCATTCAGCAAGGAAAAGGGAAACGCAGGAGAAGGGAAGCTGTTTCTTTATGTTTGTTTCTGCTTTGTTTATGTTGAGATTCAAATGCTTTTGGGATTTCCATGTTACAGCACTGTTTTCAGACTTCTGAATGGCTGGATCCAAATCTGTGATTATAACTAGGGGTGCAGAAATAGAAGTCATTTATGAGGCGTGTCCAAACTGAAAAAGAATGCGTCATGGAAAACCTCTCCATAGGATGACAGAAAGATTAACTGGGAAATTATACGATTAAGCCAAAAAGTAACTGGCGCTGTTGTCAACCCAAGTTGATGCCATGAGAACTAGACAGGCCTGTGGGTCTATGACACTGAGATAAGAGGAACGAAGAGGAATGGGATATTCCAAGAACAGCAGACTCCCCCCAAAGTCTCTAGCTTGGAACTGGACTGCTCAAGGCAGCCAATATCCCGTCCTCGCCCCTCTGCACTATGACCCCAATCCGGGTGTTTGGGTTTCTGCCTCCTGGATGCTCCCCAGAACAGCACACACTCTCCCTTCTCAGAAGCACGCAGCAGTCGGAAGGGCTGTTCTCACAGGAATGTTTCTCAGGAACTAAACAAAATGCGAGGGCCTATGCCATTTACGGAGGGACAAAGGAGCACAAAATGCCAGGTGATGTTTTCCTCTGTGTCCAAGAACATCACTGAAAAGACACATGGGCAGCTGTCAGGGCTGAGCACACTGGTGGCCAGGCTAGGAGCGGATGAGTCACTGTGTCCACTAGGAGTTTTCACTGGGGCACTGCGCTGGCTGGGCGCCTACTGTGCATCTGCCTCCAGGGCTTCCGAGGTTCACAGGTAGTGCTGGGTGGAGGCCTGCCCGCAGCAGCGCTTGGGTCCTCAGTCCCACGCAGCCTCGTGCACATGGCCACCGATGCATAAGCTCATCTGTGTGCTGTTTCGCCTTCATGCCTATCAAGATTCCTGTCACTTCACTCTGTAGCACACAGCACGCCTTGTCAGCCTAATGAAAGCTTCCCCCACCTTTCATTTATGACTCCCCTTTTCTCAGAAATGCAGTGTAGCTATTATTTGACTGAGAGCCACTATACCCTGCGTGAGAAGGGGTGAACTTGTGTCTCTCTCCTGTGCAAATACATGCCCAAAAGGGCAGCCTGAGATCTACAGCAGAGAACACTGACCTGACTCCTTAGCCTTGCTTCCTCTTAGAGCAGATTAGTTGTTTGCCTTGAAGGTTGTGACTCCTCAGGAGCCCCTAGAGATAAAGGAGCGAGGAGGAACGCCAGCGGTCGCATCTCATAAGCAAGAGGCAGAGCCAGGGGACCATGTCACGAGGAAACACTGACAATAGTGACATGGTGAAGCCCTTACAAGACACTCACTTAAGACTTTGAAGAAGTACAAAGGATGAAAGAGAAGGGCTGAAAGAGCTCTCTGTTGCTGTTTCTTAGGCGCATGCTAAGTAGCTAGAACTTAAAACCTTTGTAGAGACTGTTCCCGGGCGTGGCCTTGACAGGCAGGCAAGAGAACATTGATCGCTGTCCGTGCTCACATCTGTAACTTGCAACAAATGACAGGGACAGTATCATCTAAACGGAGGCTATACTATCACAAAAGCGTAGTTTGAAAAAAATCTTAAATGCGTTTTTCTAAATGGACTAAATAGCACGGTCATTACTTTCATGAGAGCTAATTCAGTGGGGAATTATTTTTTCTTAGTTCTATAGTTTTGTATTTTACAATTAAGTTACATTTTGATGGGTGCATCACAACGTATGAGGTACAGTATAATGTTTTGGATCATATAAAATGAGTGATGAACTCAAAATTAGTGCATCCTTAAACTTAATTAATATCTTATTAATGAATACATTCAATTTTTTTTCTTTGAGATATATGATAATGAACTATTTTTTTTTCTTTTTTTTTTGTATTTTTAGGGAAGGGTCTACAGGGTGTTCAGGGTCTCACTACTAGATCAGACTCCTAGTGATCTGCCTGTTTACAGCTGGGATTACAGGCACATGCCACCATGCCCAGTCTCAATTGCCATGCCCTGGGGGTGGAGCCAGCAGGGCAGGCCTGGGGATCGAACCCCTGGCTCCTTTGCCTGCTTGCAGGTGCTTCATTCTGCTGAGCTATTTGGCCATCCCAATAATTCACTATTGTTAATCATAGTTTTTAGCATGGAAAGAGATGACAGGAAACACAGAAAACTTAAGTTTGGCACTGGTGTCTTTGGGGGCCATGACTCATCCCCACTCACATACCCCTATGTGAATACTGAAACGTTACCAGCTTGGGTGGTTTCAGACAAGGAAGTGAGCAGGGCCCTGGGGAGAAGCTACTGTAGATCACATCAAACGTCAGACATAAGGGCACTGAGATTCTCCAGGACCCAAATGCTCTCAGGCCCTCAGCACCCTGCCCTGGTCCTCTGCACAGAATCTCTTCTTTGTACACCAAAAGAAAACAGCAACACATGCTCCCTGTTCTCAGAACTGCCTTTATCTTCTCTGAAGAAGGAGCTACAAAGGAACAGCTAAGTGAGTACTAGATCCTCCTCCTAAGCAAGGAGAAAGCACTTCAGTTGGAGGTTAAGGGCAAGGTGAGGGTGCTATCCCCTCCCCATCTCAGTCTACAGAGTATCAATTGTCTTCTTGAGATTTAGTTGGAGGTTCCCTAGATCATGTTGGGGGTTGGGCAGGAAAAACAGTCTTTCTTGGTTAAGAAGAGAAAGAAATGCTTCAGACCGTGTGGCGTCACGCTAGCTATCTCTAAAAATTCATTGGGAGGTGGTCATGGGTGGGGCTTTTCAGAGCTGGCTGGATCAAGGGTGTATGCGTATGGATTAACGGTGTGATCTTAGGACTAAGATTGTGATGCTGAGTCCACTGACTGGATTTTGCGTAGTCCTAGTGGCTGCATAGATCTACCGGAGACAGAGGCCCTCCCCTGGGTGTGGGTGGCACCACCCAAAGGATTTTAGCCTGGGCAGGAAGAAAGGGAAGAGCAGGCTTGCAGTTCGCTGCTCACTGCCTCCTGCCTGTCCTGCCATGGACTGTCTCCTCTGCGACGTCCATCTGTCATGTGCCACCCTCTCTTGGAGCTGGCTGCCTAGGGACTGAAACCTGAACCAACGGAGCTGAAACAAACCTTCCCTCCTTTAACAAGCGAAAGTCAGAGTTCTGGGTGTTGGGCATTTAGTTTCAGAAAGGAGAAAGGCAACTAAGATGCAAGCTCTCTTCTCTCACATTCTAAGTCCTGGTCAGTCCTCAGTAGGCAACACTTCCTGCCTTCAGCAATACAGACGGACTGTGGGAAGGGAAAGAATCACCCACCAGCTCAGCTCAGACCCCAGAGCCTGGCGCTGGAGCTCTTCACATCCCCACCAACCTCTTACGTATTCGCATTTTGGCTTCAATCAAATATAGACTTTTTAATATATCCTTCCTACACTCCCTAATCTTCAGTTTTGGGTCAGTGTTTTCCTGGGTTGTTTCCCCTGAATCCTGCAACTCCTGGCATCCTTCCTTTCAGGATCAGGCCTTGGGCCATGCGCTGCAGGCAGACCCTGTTCCTGTAATACGCTTCTAGAACCATGCAGCAGAGAGTGCTTTGATTTCTAGTGATAAATGAAGGGACCAGCTAGACTCCTTATTTTGATTTTGTCCCCCAAAGGGCCGGGACCAGGCATAAGCCTCCCAGTGCTCCATACAGAGTCTGGACTAGTAGTAAGGAAAGCACAGGCACTCCTATAACAGAGAAGCTGGGTGCCTCCAGGTACTCGCTGTGTAGCCTGGAGTAAAGTATTCACTACAGCTGCATTTCCATGTCATTTTAAAAGACTGATGATGAAGTTTGATGGGTGTCCCCAGTTTCTCCTTAGTATGCTACTCTCTCTTGCAGAATGAGCCCACAACCATGACCTGAGCTACCTCCTAGGACCTAGTAGCTACTGGCACAAATACACAGTGTCAGCACAGACCTTTGCCCTGATCTTCAGATAAATGTGTCTGATAATTAATGATCATCTCTGATGAAAAATACACAGAAATCCTAAGTTCTACTTGTCTGGAACTGAACTAATAATCTGGCACATGAACGTAATTATGCCTTTGGGGTAATCTCCACCTCAGAGCCTGGACTCTTTAATCTTGGCTGTTTGAACTTGAAGATCTTTCCTGTCTCGTTTGAACACCTATTTCTAGCTCCCAACCCCACCCATCACACCCCCCCACTTGAGTAAATGAACTCCTGCCATTTCTTATGAACTAGACAAAGCACAGCAATTAAGCAGATGGGCTGATGAATGCCTGGGTGCGGAAATGTATAAATGGGCAAAGAATCAGGCACAATAACTCTCCCCAGCCCCCTCCACCACAAAGCTTCTCACTAATAGGACAGGGACAGGGTAGGGAGCTGCACTTACCACAGATGCCGTACTGGCAGAGGCTTCTGCTTCATGGCTACGAGGGCGCCACCCCAGTCTAGGAACCAGACATTGTACTCTTCATCAAAGATCTAGAACAACAACAGTCATAGCAACACCTTACGTCTGCATAGTGCTTTACAGTTCAGGCTTTCTTGCATATATTGTTTCAGCTAGAAACTAAGCCTCCCACCAACCCTCGTTGCTTGGGAAGAATTATCCCTATTTGATACCCAGCTCTCCTGAAGCCACCCAAATGGCACTTTCAGGGCTCATTCCCAACCAGAGTGCTATTTCCAGGTGAGGTAACAGGACACAGGTTCAACTAGGTAACCCAGGGAAAAGTACGATTTCAAAGAATCTTACCCATCTTTTCATCTCAGAAAGTTATTCACCCTCTCTTCCTCCTCTCTCTTCAGATGTTTGATAATTTAATAAACGGTCTACATTTCATGGGGCTGATTATCCCTTAACTAGGATCTTAAAAGACAGTTTCCCTAAACAGGATGATAACTGAGTACTTATGCGAAGCCACTATTCCTTAGGGCCCTGCGAAAGCTGAATGAAGAGTTCCGTGCCTGTAAACACCCACTCCAAGTCGTCCATAGAGCACAGCCGTGTGGTGAATATCTGGAGGCCTCCAAATCAACATGAGCTCCTGGGGGGCGTTTTGGTAGAGCCTGGGTCCTGGGACGGGGTATTCATCACATCCCGTTACAGCAGTGGAGCTGTCCACTGACGAGCTTGCAGCTATCTCCGTACTTGGAGATGAGGCTGGGCCAGAGGAAGCGCGTCACTGTGCTGTGACGTGGATGAGCACAGCCCTCCTCCTCTTCCACGCCCACTTGCCATGCCTCAGACTGTTTCCCCTCTGCCCAAACTTTTCGCTGTGCCCTGCACTGGAAGCAGCCAACTATAGACTGAAACCTCTACAAACGGCCAGCCAAAATCCACTTCTCTTTCCTTAAATTGTTGGTATATTTAGTCCCAGCCATCAAGCAAGTAACCATGACAACAACACTTTCAGGGATGCAAAGTTATTCATAATTGATGGAATTATGTGTCCAAAATCTATCCTTCCATGCACTGACCCTACACTCAGCCCGTGACCCATCCACCCATCTGTTCAGAGGCATTTATTAAGCACCAACTATGATACAAAGCTCTGAACCAGAAGGTCAGACTTAATCCTCCATATAGCAATGCTTACACCTATGTGAGTACTGTGGATTCAGGAAAAGCCCTGCTCCATGAAAAGCTAAGCTCCACTTAGGGCTTTCAGGGGGAAAGTACGCTTAAAGTATCCCTCCCGCACTCAACCACTGATGATGGCTCATCAGTGTAGTTTGGCTGGAAATGGTGGGTGGTGGATTAGGTGAAGTGGGGCAGAAATGGGCTCAGGGAGGTTAGCTTAAGAAGGGGTGAACATGAGGGAAGGGGCCTCCTGCAGTGTGCCTCAATGACCACAGAAAAAAGTAAAGAGTCTTGAAAGCCATTGTTTTCAGCCTTCACATCCACCTTTTTAGGAAAGACAAACACCTTACTAACGGGAAGTCTTAGCATGCACAGGACACCTCACTTAGGTTTTTCTCTCCAGAGCTTAATGGATGGCTCTAGGATCATCCACTTAATGGGGCACAGGAAAGGAGCCTGGGAATGTGGGAATGAGGAGCCCAGGAAGGGCCTTGGTCCTTGGAAGGGCAGGGAAGGGATCCTCGCTCTTTGATCCTGAGGATACTGATCTGACCACTGATGACTCCTTGCCCTGTGCACTGGTGCAGGAAGAAGTAGAAGCCTTGGCTGTTTGAGAGGAGGTAGAAGACAATCAAAGTAGTGGGGATACAAGGAAATGGTGGCATGGGGGCCACCAGCCAGGAGGAGAGATGCTGACTCGCCTATTGGTAATCCTGTCCCAGGTGAATTTACACACCAGTTTCCCCCTGCTCTTTGCCATTGCAACAGGATCTCATGTTTCAAAGGTAAAATGTTATTTATGTGTCTGTCCCCTTCCACCTGATTATGGCCTTGGAAGCAGGAAATCTGGCTTATTCTTCGTGCTGTATGCCATGTAGCACTTAAGAGAGCAGCTTATTAGGTGGCTGATAATTTTTAAAACTCGCAGTAGAGGTGACGGAGGTGACCATGTGGGTGGTGGTGATAGTGTTGATGAGGGTAACAGCCCTCTCTAAAGCCTTCCGATAGGAACTCGTCCAGGCAGGTTACAGATCCCGATTTCACCTTTGCCATCAGAACACACTAGGGCGTTTCCTTGTCCATGCACCTTTAGCGCTCACCCAAACGCCACCTCCTTTGGGCCGGTCTTTCCCAGGTTCCTCGGCAGCATCAACTCTCCTTTCACGTCCACACCCATAATGGCACAAGGCTAATGCCAAGCCTCCCCGAACTACGGTGAGTTACTTGCAAGCTTGTGTTCTTCACTTAAGTTTGAGCTTCTTGAGCAAAGGATCTCCAGCCCCAGAGGTTTTTGCCTGATGTGTAAATAGGTGCTGTCCAATATAGGAGCCATGTGCAATGATTTAAATTTAAATTAACTGAAACAAATGACAAGTTCAGTGCCTCTGTCACAGCAGCCGTACATCACGTGCTTGTCAGCTTGTGCAGCAGCACAGACATGGAACATTCCTATCACCGCTGAGAGGTCTACGCAATATCCTTGCTGTTTGTGAAACTAGATTAATTCGCAATGTAGTTGTGTACCTGTTAAGCTGCCTGGTATGGTGTGTGTCCAGCTGTCCCCCCCCCCAAAGCCTCACGCAAGTCATGGGGCAGACCTGGCTCGAGGAACAGCGAGTGGCTTGTGGGGCATGGCCAGAGGACCAGGGCGGGGCTTGAGGGATGGGGCCAGAGAGGAGCAAACTGTTCAACTGTGGCATGTGCTCCTCAGCCCCACGAGGCGAGCGGCTTCCCTTGGAGGTGTGCAGAGGGTCATCTTGGGCACGGCAATGTCCCAGCCTCCTTCAGACCCTGTAGTGTGGGGTGGCAGTGTCTGTGATTGAGGCCGCCTCAGGCAGAGAAGAGATGTTTGGAGAAGACAGAGGCACTGACCCTCTCTCCTGAGCAAATAAGACTCCAAGGTTTTGGTAGGTAATTCAGGCTGTTTTAAACTATAAAACCTCCAGTAACTGTGAGCTAAATAAACCTTTTGTTCCCTAATTTTAAGCATCAGGTATCTGTCCCAGCTATGAGAAAAGAGTAACTAAGACACTAAGATAGTCGTGCACCTGTTAAGCTGCCTTGTATATAAAGCAGGGTCAACACCATGCCTAGCCATCAACTTCCATGGAGTGTTTGTTTCAATGTTCTGGTCCTTTCAATTTTCAGACAAAGAAACAGATTTAGAAAGGTGAAGAGGGCTGTTTGCCAGCATGCCTGGGCACATTCATGAAACAATGTTTTATCAGTTGCATCCCCAGCAAACATCACAGTATTCAGTAGCCCGTGCCTGTCACATATGCAGCTGAAGGAAGAAATGAGCCAATGGGGAAAATTCCAGTTCTTCCTACTCTGTTTCACTCTTCCCTTTTTGCCCTCTTCCCCTCCTAAACTTCTAGGCGGATTAATCAAACTGAGTAGCTACTTCAAACTCTTTGCAACGGCCAAGTCTCAGTGAGCCCAGGCATCCACAGGGAGCGGAGGTACTGCAGAACTGGCTCAACTGCCGCTTGCTCTTCCCTTTCTGGGCTCAGCCCAGTTACCTGTCTCCAGGTGTTCCCGCCATCGGAGGAGATGAACACACCAAAATCCGTGTAGGAGAGCTCCGGACCAACGTTGCCTGCAACAGAAGCAGATTGTTGGGGACCGAGAGGTCAGGCAGCTCGCGGAGTCAGTCTGCTCAGCTTGGGAATGGGCGATCAAGGGTAGAGCTACTGGAGGCACGCTGACAGCTGATCTGTCTTTTCCTCTTGGCATCATATCAAAAGCCCAGTAGGAAGAGAAACCCAATATTGGAAGACAAGTAAATAGAATGATAGGAAAGACATCTCTGAATGATAAAACTCAGTGAATGATTATTGACTTGGAAGAGCTTCCTGAATTATTCATTCTGTACACCACTACTGTAAATTTCTTCTGCCAAGAATCATATGCAAATTTTCTTCTGACAGATGTTCCAGGAAAATAGGAAGGAGTGAAGGAGTACGTGTATATACAAAGAAGGTGCACTCTGCAGGGATAACTTTAGACCCCCAAAGTCTGATGTGCAAATATGTATGATTGTGTATGCCTACATGTGTGTTTTTGTGTTTTTTTTTTAATCTGATAGAGTATTTCTTGAGCACCAGGCAGTCAAGTAGCCCAGTGGGAAAGCATGTGTAACCTGAGTTATGGATTGAGCAAAAGAAGATGACCACATTCAGCACACCACGGACCCCAAGCATTGGAGAACGAGGAGCCTGGGCTGTGCCTGGACCCACTGCATTCACTCCTTCCAACCCTGTGCATCCTCTTCTCTCTGCTCATCTTTTTCCATTTGTACTGCATCACCTTGTAATCATGCTTATTAAAAAGAAACTTGTCAGGATTTCTAATTCTAGTGATGCCGTCCTGGTTTCTACAATAGACAATCCCCGTCTCAGAGCCTACAACAATGCCTCAGAGTAGATAACGCTCAACATGTAACTGTGGGGTGAAAGGGTGAGGTATTTATTTAATGACTGAATGAAGCTCCAATGTTGATGTACCCTTGGGGACATATTAACAACCAAGATGGTACCCTAAGCATGTAAGAATTTTACATATTGGTTGATATTTTTCCTTTAAAAAATAGCAAGAAGGGAATGTTAGCTCTCACACATCTGTAGCCTAAGTAAGAGCACAATGAAAATGCAATAATGAAAATGTTAATTGAGTGCCTGACATTTAATGCTTCAAAATGAGAAATTAACGCCAGGCTACAGCTTGTCAAGCTCCTGTCAGCATCAGGGCACACACAATGAGCCAACTTGTTGTGACGCTGGGGCTTCCAAAAATAACTCCAGGATGCAGGGGCAGGCAGTGGGTGTGAGAGGCATGAGGAGAGGCTGCAAGAGCAGCTCTTTGCAGATCCGCATGGAATTTGGAATCCCACCCTCCAGACACAGGTTTCTTAAAAAATAATTTTATTGAGAAACAAATAGCAATGAGACAGTTTCAAAAAAGATTAGTAGGACAGTTTCAATAATTAATGCATTGCATATTGTTGTCTTCTTAGTGGTTATTCATGGTACAAGATGCAGACATGATATCCTGTCCACAAACACTATTAGAACAAATCTTTCTTCTCATTGAATTAAGAGAAAGTAGCTATATATCTATCCTAACTATTTTATATATACAGGTACAAAATGGTCCTTCATTTGTATCCCCTTCTTTTGTTTAGTTTTGTCAGACATGGGTATTCCCTTGCCATTTGAATATTGTAGGTGCATGAATTCAGCAAAGTAATCCAATATAGTCCAGTAGTCCATAATTGTAGTGGGTTATCTGTAGGACTGGCAATGTCAGAAGCTGTTGACTTGAGCCTTTTACAGCTCACCATATTAATATGGCTTTACTTTTTATACTTTGCTTTCATACTTTTCTGCTGAATAGTTAAGACCAAGATAAAGCAGGACCTATATAACAAGAAATGTAACTTTTGTACCTGACAAGGTCAGTCAAATCCCCTCAGGATTTACCCTGTAACCCTGTACTGCACTTTGTAGATCCTTTGTCAGTGTCAGCCATGCCGATGAGTCACAGCCATTGCTTGGCCAGTTTTCTCTCTGTGAAAGCCTGAGAGAATAGTTTTCTCTTCACGTAGCTCTCCTTAGACACACTACATCATCGATCACTTTCCTTTGTGGCCCCGTAATCTCCTTGATCAGAAAATTTGGGACACAACAGATACAAGTCTTATAAGACAGATGTGCAGAGTGTTGGAACAGAGAATGTCAACTCAATTTTGTGCTGGGGGATGCCTGAAGGCATTATGCTAAGGTGGATTTGGAAGCCACATGCTGCTTCCGCACAATAGTGTGTGGCAGCCCATGCCTAGTGTCAACCAAGAGCGAGGTGTGGCAAAGGCATGGCCATCCTGGAGTTACGTATTTGCTCTTCCTGGAATGACTCCTTAGGGGCTATTCCGCCCTAAGGTGGTTCTGCCAGTACCTTCAGGCTCTCCTTCAAAGCTTGACTGCACTGGCTCAGAAGGCTCACTGCGGGAAGACTGCGAGGCTCCAGGTCTAGTCTGCTTGCTACTCTCCTTTGTCTTTTGTACCCTGAGACCTTTCCTACAGATCCAGATGTCGCTGAGACTAGAACACTGTTTCCCAAATGAGGGGACAGGGAAGATGCATCCAGACAGGTGTGACCCAGGGACAGGTTCAGTCCCTGAGGGCCTGGTGGGTCATCTGACGGGAGCAGCTTAAGTGGCCCAGAGAGGAGGGAGATCTGTGTAAGGAAGCACTCTGATAAGGAGGCGGAAGAGAGAGGCTGTGTCGTGGCAGAGTAGGAGAGAGGAAAGGGCAGTGAGACGCAGGAGAATGAGGGCGTCCTCAGCTGCAGCTGCAGTGGTGTGCTACCGAGGTGCCTGCCCCTCGGGCCAGCTTTGAACAGTTTGCTATTGTCCCATTTCTTCCCCTGCTAGCAGTAGCCTTCTCTGTTCCTCAGAGAAGGGAGAGAGAGAGAGAGAGAGAGAGAGAGAGAGAGAGAGAGAGAGAGACCGAGAGCATGCAAGCGAACTTGGAGGCCTTTGTGGGTTGGAGATGTTGCTCTCATCACACTCACCCCAGGAGGTGAAGCCATCTGAACCTCACGGAGAAAGGACAGCGCACACAGCCAGCCATGTGGGAGAGCGTCAAGGAGGGGATGACAAGGTACGGACATTCGGGGCTCAGGGAAGCAGGCTGGGGGGTGCCTAGCTGCAGGCTGGTGCAGGGGGTGTGCGGGGCAGTGTGCCCAGCTGTTGCGGGCTGGAGCACTGTGCTGTGGGGCAAGGCCCGGCTGTGGTGCCTGTTCCCTCTCACTCACCCTCACTTTGAAACTTGGAGATTGGGCACTGCCACTGCTGCATCACAGGGCACGGCACCATCAGAACACGAGAGTGCCTTGCACACGGGAGGCACTGCGAGTGTGAGTCCTTGTTACGAGCTGGAAGCCAGCATGCAGGGCATCAAGGATGCTGGTGGCTCTACTTGCTACAAGCAATTGCAAACACTCCAGATGCAAGTTCAGACTTCCTTCTAAGGCGTCCTCCATGGGAACTGGAAAGGAATCCCAGGGCACACGTGCAACTTGATAGCACTTCTCTAGGCAAGATGGGAAGAGGGAGCGAGCAGGTGGGGCAGGTGGGGCACTGGAGAAGGAAGGTCCTCTCAGAGACTGGCCTGTAGGCCACCCATGACATGCTAGAATGACTTCACAGTCACTTTTCTAATGGCAGATCAACTCCAGGGAGACCAGAGAAGCAGAATAAGGAAAGGCGGGGAAGGAAGAGGAATCAGGACCTCATCAGCTATGTCATATCTGCCTAATGTCAGGGGCCTGGTAAGGAGTCTCAGGAGTTGCATGGGGAGGAAAAAATTACTCAGTGTGGACACAGGTGGATAAAAGTATTTTTAAAAACAATGCTGTAATGTCTACATGTTTGTTTAATTCATAAAAGACCTACCATAAAACATGTGGTTCACCCACAGTAACAACATCCACTAATCCCGCCTCCCTAAACTGAGTGCTACATCCAATCTCAAGGGCATGTTTTCATCTCTAAATCTTACAACACTCTGGCTAGGTAGAGAATATCCTTGTTTCACAGATGAGGAAAACCAAGCCAAAAACCAGGAAAAATTCACTACCACAGTGAGCATAAGAGCACGGCTCAGAAGGCAGGATGACGGGATTCCTGCGATTTACAGCATGCAGGTGATTGATGGGCTCTATGGGAGGATATGAACAAGTTACTCTTCTACCACAAGAACAGTTTTGACTTCTGTGATATTGAGGATGACATGTAGCATGTACCAAGCATTCAGTACGGCCCTCTAAGCGTTTGAAGGTCATGACCTCGTTTAATTCTGGAATTTTATCCTGTTACTACTATTATTCCCACTTTGCCAATGAAGATGCTAAAGTTCACAGTGCTTAAAAGGCACCAAACAGTGCCTGGTACAGGGTAAGCATTCAGATCATGTTAACTTCTGCTGCTGCTCACGAATTACCACTGTGGCCTCTGCTTCGGGCCTGGGCTGCCAGTAGCCCTGGTGCACAGGCAGCAGCCCCTGAGGCGGAAGCAAGCCACGCCAGCGGCACAGAGCAGGGACTACTCCCCAAGCCAGGAGCCGAGCAGAGCCTGTTGCATATCTCCTTGTCCTGCAGTCCATGGCCAGCAGCGTGAACCATGATGGACACCATGCCTACTCCCTGGAGAGGGGCCAGCGAAGAAGCAGTGGGCCATGTTAGCCATCAACCTAATGACAGTGGTGGTCATGGGTGGTTTTTTAAAATTTCCTCAGTCAGAAGATGGGAGAAGGAAGCCTTTGCTAGAAAAGAAGGAACCCAAAATCTGGAGCTTTGGGTTGATGAGAGAAAACAGAATTTGCCTGCCCAGAAAGTGACTGTGAATTCAGCTGCTTTCATTAGAAAAAATGCTGCCTCACACCAGCGCGCTAACTTCTAAGATTAGAAGCCTGATTGGTGTTATGCTGGCAATGTATTCCTGAAAAGGTGTATGCAAATGCAACGCATGCTAATCAGCCCAGGTTCCCAGGAGGCTTGCACTGCATCTCAGAGCTGCTTTATCTTCATTTCTGATCGATGCTCAGTGGATGGAGGCTCCAACAATGCAACCTCGAGTTTTCCTGCCCTTTCCTCCAGGCACGCAGCCAAGGGCTTAATCATGTGCAAACAAACCTTTGCAGGCACGAGAGACCTCCTGAGGAAGAACAACTCTGGGCAAAACTCTTTGGTAAAGTGTCTTCAGTGCAAAGAGAAACCCTTACAACTTCCATTTGGAGAGCTGGGATACCTCCCCCATCATGCTTTCGTTAGGTGAGAATTCCCTACTACAAACAATCAGACATGTTTACTTTGACATGGACTCTGCCTTGTTTTTGTTGCCCAGGATTGCCTTTGCTATTCTAGGTCTTTTTTCATTCTAAATAAATTTTAGGAATGATTTCTCAAGGTCTGTGAGGTATGTTTGTGGTAATTTTGATGTGAATTGCATTAAATCTGTATAACGATTTTGGGAGTATGTCCATCTTCACAATGTTGGTTCTTCCTACCCAGGAGCAGGGAATATCTTTCCATTGTCTGAAATCCTCTGTGATTTCTTTTTAAAGATTTGTACTAAAAATGTTTAGACAAGATATCATGTCTGCATCTTGTGCTCTGAATAACTACTATGAAGACAACAACATACAATGTATTAATTATTGTAACTGTCCTACTAACCTGTCTTGAAACTGTCTCATTGCTATTTTTTCCCAATAAAATTAATTTAAAAAAAGAACTCCAGCCTCTTGCTGAGGCCAGAGAACCAGTGTATGTCCGCAGGGGCGGCAGCGGCTGCAGTGCTGGCGAGCAGGTGCCTGAACACGGAAATCATGCTGGTCCAGAGCTCTCCACAGCTGAGACTCTTGTGATGCTCTCAAGGATCAAAAAAACTCCTGCACCTTTTCTGGGAGGAACTCTGGAGCTTTCAATGAATGAGCAAATGGACCCGCGGCCCACAACCAGGAAACAGACTTATTCTGGAAGGCCTGAGTGCGGAAGACGCGCAGGCATGCTTCCCGTACCTGTGGCCACCACGAGCCCCGGGGCTGACTCCTTGCTGGAGATCCTTCCAGAAGAAAACGGGCTTTCAGAAAGCTGCAGGTGCAGGTGTAAGGAGCAGAAGGGCTGAAAGGAAGAGGAGACCAGAGTCACCCCGGAAATTCCTGACCTTCGCCCACCACCGCCCCTCCGCGGGGCGCTTCCACGCGTGCAGCTTCCGCAAACAGCAAGGTCCCGCCTGAAGAGCCTCCTGCTTCTCTCTGCGTCTGACAAAGCCATGATTCTCTGCAGAAGCTGCCTTGGGTATCACCGCAGTCCCCTCCTGCCCTCATTCCTACATACGAGGGGTGATTAAAATATATAGTGAATGTTTAATTAAAAATAATAGTACAATAGCTCAGGGACTAAAGCGCCTGCTTAGGAATTTTTTCTTTTTCATTTCTTTTTTTTTTTGGGGGGGTTGGGGGGCAGGTGGCTCAAGCTGCCTTAAGGTCCGGCCTGGTAAGGCATGGAGAGCTGGGGATCAAACCGCAGTCCCGTGGGCCTGACTGGGTTTGCCCCAACAGGCGTTTAAACAACTGAGCTAACCCTCAAGCCATCCTAAAGCGCGTGCTTCGGCAGAGCTCAGCGGACTGGGGTGATGATTGAGACTGGGCATAGTGGTGCCTGCCTGTAATCCCGACCCTTGGGAGGCTGAAAACAGGAGGATCACTACGAGTCCAATCTACTTCGTGAGACCCTGTAGACCCTGTACTAAATATAGAAGAAAAAAAAAGTACAAGATAGAGTGTCATCAGTCCGCCTGCAAATACTCCACCCCACCCCACACATGCTCGTCCCCTCCTTCCTGCCCGATCTGCGACAGCGCAGGAGCGCCTCCCTCATGAGCGTCATCCCGAGGTAGAAGGAAGTGTGGTAAGCGAGGTCGCCCAGTGCCGTCCAGCAAAGCAGGACAGCTTGTAAAAACGTCACGGTGTGTCCACACTCACCTTGTTTACTGGATCTGGCACCACGTGACTTCCGGCTCATCCCCAGACTCAACAATGACCATGAAAACTAAATGCCCTGAGTTGACTCAAGACACTGAGGCAGCCTGGCGGTGCAACATGACCATCCCCTTGAGGACCCCGGGGCTGGCTCAGCAGGCGTCAAGCATGAGAGGATGACCATGTTTGCAGCCAGGGGCAAGAGCTTGACGGGAATGAATGCCCAAAGGACTTTTAGTAATATATATATATATATATATGAATATGAGCTGTTTGGATCACAGAGCGTACAGTCCCCTTTTCTCCATCTCATCCTTACCACCCCTCCCATGCGGCCAGGTCTTGGTCAGCCCTGATAGGGGAGACAGATTCACTAGCTGAGCCAGGTGGACATGCCAGGCTGACCTTCCCTCAGCTTCCGAGGCTGGAGTTGCTGGCCTTGACATCTAGCATGCACTCACTGAACTGCATCATGTTAGTATCTCTTCAAGTCCTGCCTGGGACTTTTAAGGAAAGGTTCCTTCTCTTAGCCACTTCTTCACTTCACCGTGGGCTGCAGAGTCCCAGCCTAGTCTCTAGGACCTCTTGCTAGGAGAAAGCCTAGCCCGTGACATCTCACCCTAGGAAACCAGCCTGGCCCAGGAGTTTCCCCTGAGGCGGGGGACTGACCAGCAGGCAGTGTGTTGGGCTTCCTCTCAGGTCCACATCTGGGGCTTGAAGCAAGCGCCAGTCCCGGCCCTTGTTGTAAGTGATGTACGTCTTCACCTGCTCGTCCACCTTCTTGTTGGCCAGGAATATCCCTTTGAGACCTGCTACCTAGGAAGAAAGGTGAGAGATGGAAAACCAGGTTGGGCTGAAACACCTGTCATCTTAGAGATGTCCTGAAAGAAGATGCAACACTACCTATATGTTATTTGGGACACAACAGAGAAACGGAGGAAATGTCCTACACTCTTGGAAAGAAGTTTGTGTTCCTCTCTGCACCTACACTGCCTTCTCAGATGCCCCCTCCTTCTCTTGCCCACTGCTCTTACCCACTTTAAGTCTGTATACTTCGTTATTTAGGCCCTCGTCTTTAACAGTATCCCCGTGATTACCAGTAAAGCAGCCACCTCTCTGGAGAATATGTGCTGGAGCTCAGCAGACTCATAGCCAGGTCTGCAGAGCATCAGGGATGAGCCTGAGGACAGAGGTCCAGGAAGCCCACCCCAGTGGGAAGAAGGCTGGCTTGGGACACGGGACCCAGCCTGCATGCCAGCTCTCTTGCTCTGCCCTCGACATTCTCTCCTTGTGGGAGCTTGGGGAACTCAGGTCTTTGGTTCTCAGCCAGTCCTCACTTTGAATTTGGTGGAACAGACCAGTTTTCCCCCATTTCCCCAGTCAGCTGGCAACATGTCTATGAGATAAGGCAGAGCAGTCTTGCCAGAGTTCCTGATGAACTGGCGCTTGCCTGCCCCTGATATCATGAAACTAAAAGCGCATTGCTGCGAACAAGTAGCTGGAGGATTCCAGGAGATTGATTACCCAGAAGGGCTCCAGAGCAAGCACAAATTCAGCTCAGACTTTTATTCCTCCTATTGCGCATGCTGGGAAGGGAGAACAGAAGCTGAGAAGGACAGTGTTCTGCACCACGGAAAGATGCTCGAAGGTTTCCATGGAAATTCCAGCAGGTTCTCAAGGCAGAAGGCAACTGGGATACGTAAACAGGGAAGGCTGAATGGTGGATTACTCAATGATTCTATCATATATCAAGGTTTGGTTTCTATTTATTGCCCATTCTTCCACAGTCACGGTTTACTGGGGTTCATTGCCATTCTGAAAGAATACCAGTGGGAGGAAAGGTGCACAATCCCACAGAATTTAGGGCGCTTATGGCTGTTGTTTGTTCCCCATGGGAAACTTTAGTAGTAACGTGACTAGCCTTCAAAGACAATGCCTACATGAGTAAAGTCAACAAAGTAACCGCCCAAACTCCAAGCAAGTAGCCAAAATCAGGAGGAGAACGGCGTTATGAGGGGAGGACACACAGAGGGATCCCACCAACAGCCCACAAAGCAACTGACTGAGCCTCCCCGGACAGTGGCGGGGTAGGGCCGTGCCACAGGGAACCCGCAGTGCTGGTCCCGGTTATGGCCTTCACCATCGCTACCCTCCCTGCCCTCATAGCTCACTGTTGGCACCGTTGCAGGACAGCAGGTGTCTCACGCGCATAGCTAGGTGCTGGGCGGCTCCTGCCTCAGCTCTTCCCTTGCAATCAACTGCAAAGGTGTGGAGGTGTGGTGACGCTAGCCTGCCAATCATTCCCGAAAAACAATGGAATCCATTCATCCAGAATCTTCTTCTAGACAGAAGTCTTTTTCCAGTGTTCTCCTTGGTGATCAACGGAAAAGTCTCCTAAGCCGGCCCTCCTCCAGCCTCCACACCCCCCACGTGCACTCAAGGCCTCTCTGCACATCCTCCAGCAGAAAACGTGCAGATCGTACTGAGCCTGATGGGCGCACGCGCTGGGCCCAGTCGCCATGCTCATGCGGTTCCTGCCTCCCTTGACCCTGCTTCTTTGCTGGGTGCATAAGAGCAAGAATGTGTGGTTTCAGCTAAGCACATTTAGCAAATGGCAAGCGGGATGGTCATTATTGTGTTTTCCCACTGAGAGCCCAGTGCTCAGATGGGCACTCTCTGTGTCCCATAGGCAAATTCTCCAGGAGAAGTCAGGAGGTTGGGCCTGGAAAGACACAAGTAGGAGAGATTTTGCTGGAGTCCTCTGCAGTCCCAGAGGCATTTCTCTGTGACTGTACGTAATGCCACAGCCATTTCCCTCCTGCCTAAGAGGACCAGGACACTTCCCATTTGCATTTGGACTGTTCAAGCCTTCACTTTTTGACTGAATTGTCTCCATTCAGTATGAACAGATTAAAGAGGATGCTTTGCTTTTTGTGTATCACAGCCAACAACTTTCACTTTTTGATTGCAACTCAGGGAAGAAATATATTTATGTTGTAATATAGTACTTGCACAGAATACATGCATGTGCATACATGTGTATACATATATTCCTAGGACAAAGGTGCTGTGGGGTACAAGTTGGCCACTGTATGGAATGTGAAGGAGCTGAAGAAGCGATACATGCTCTTACTTGTCTTCATTTCTGGAGGAACTTAGTGTCCAGTGGCTTTAATCATACCTTCTTTCCCTATCTGAAATAGAAGTGAGGTGGAGCTTATGACCGCAGCAGACCTGGAAGAAGGGCACCAGCTTGTGATGGTGTGCATAAAACAGGGTACAAGGTGTCAAGCCTGCATGGCCCACTTTCCCTTTGGGGACCAATTTGAGGTGTAGAGGGCAATGGACAGCAGGCCCCTTGGCATAGAACCCTGTCCAGGTGGCACATTCATCTGCTGGTCATGTCCCTGGCACCTCAGGACAGAGAGGCCGTGGCTCTGCTGAGAAAAGCAATTACCATGGTCTGCCCTGGGCCACTGCTGGAGTTGGACGTATGGTGAGTGAGGACCTGTGAAGGTCAGCCCAGGGGAATGTCCCTGTGGGGCCAATACCCAGCTGCCCATCTGGCCAACAAGGGTCACTGAAAGTCATGACAAAGTGGAAGGTGGAAAGTAGGCACTAGACACAGGAAAGAAAAGACAACTTTACTCCCATCAGTAGAGACCAGACACAGGCTGGCTTTGAAAGTTGCACTTTGCCCTCCTAAGAGAGTGGCGTCAATATAATTAATCACTAGAGAAATGAAAACTAGATCCAGAGTGAAATGCCACTAGGTCTTTTTATCAGAATGATGAAACACACAAGCACACACACACTCTTGCAATAAAAAAAAAAAATTGTGGATGAGGATGTGAAGCGACTTAACCTCAGACATGGCTTGTGGGGATGGAACATGGCACTGCTGACTTGGAGACAGATGGCTTCTTATAAATATATTCTTGCATTTGAACCAATTATATCACTTCCAGATACTTGCCCATGAGAAATAATTCTTATGTTCCTGGGAACATTCATAGAATTTGTATTCAGAATCACACAAAATCGCAAACAACTGGTTCTTCAGGAGGTGAATGACAAGCTGAAGCATTTCTACACTGTGTAATAAGACCAGGAAATGGAAAGGAGTTCCCATGATATGCCCAATGGCATGGATGAGCCTCAGACATACACTCTGAATAACATGGAGCCCCAACCAAAAGATTACCTACGATATAATTCTATCCCTAGATACTCTAGAAAAGGAAATTGTGGATGCCTGTGAAGGTTTGACGGGGGTCAGGATGGGATGTGGATTGACGAAAAGAGGAATAAGAGGGAACATCCTGGGGATGACACAGCTCTGTGTCTTGATTGAGGTGGCAGTGACAACGTTATGCACCTACCAACACCCACAGAAGACAGCATACTGAAAATGGCAAGTTTACTGCACACAGGTAATTTCTCAGTTTCTAAGGTGTGAAAAAAATCAAGTCAAGATGATGGACTAGAAGGTGGCAGCAATCCACAGACCTTCCATGACCTGGAAGGAAACAAAAGAAGGAGAGCTCTTCAGAAAGGAAAATGAGATGAATAGCTCCAGGAATCAATTAAGAGGCAACAGGAAAATTAAAAGTCAAGGAAAAACAGAAGCCCAACGCAAAGTAAAGAACAAAACAGTCCACAGTCCCAGCCTGCACCCAGTGGGCATAGGCACTGTACTCTGCCAGTGCAAGGTAAGCCCAGTCTTAGTTCTCCAAATTAAAACAAAAAATAGATAGGTTCTGGGTTAAACCAGAACTAGCAATTTGGTGCCGGTAAGAAACTTCACTAGTAAAGATATGAATGAACTAAAAGTGAAAAGGTAAAAAGCAAGATTCCATGAAACTAGAATCAAGACAGCAGGCAGGAATAGCTACATTCATATCAAGAAAGCAGATCTCAAGCCCAAAATTAGCCAGAAGAAGACAATACTTATTAATAAAGGGAACAATACACCGAGATGATAGAACATTGCACTCAATTCTATAAAACAAACACTACTCAACATAAAGAAATTCATAGGTCCCAAAGAATAATACCAACTTCAGTACTGCACTTTCATCAGTAGATAGATCAGCCAACAAATAAACAAAAAAATCCACAAAGAAACATCAAAGTTAAATTATGTAATAAATCAAATGAACTAAGCAGATCACAACAGAACATTCCATCCAATCACTATAAAATACACATTCTCTTCAGCAGGTCATGGAATCTTCTCTAAAGGAGACCTTATTTGAGATAATAAAGCAAGTTTTCACAAATATTGAAAGGAAAGTGAAATACTTTCTTGCATCTTATTAGATTATTATAGGGTGAAACTAGGAAACCAGCAAGAGAAAAAAATATGTGAACTATACAAACACAGAGATTGAATGATTCACCTTTTAATGATAAATTTCTAGATACATGTGAGCTATTACATTTATCCAACAGAATATAAATAACCTAAAAGGATCAGTAACAAAGAGATTGACACAGTAATAAAATCTCCCAATAAGGAAAAACCCAAGATCACATGGGCAAAGAACTAACACCAATGTTCTTCCAACCAGTGTTCATGAAATAGAAAGGAAGGCTCCCAAACTCATTTTATGAGGTCAGTATCATCCTATGCTGAAACTAGACAAGGCCAAAACAGGAAAAGAAAGCTGTAAACCAATTTTCTTGATGAATATGGATGGCAAAACCCTTAAATACAACATTTGCAAACTAAACTAAATGAAACACTGAAAGATGACTAAGTTAGCTGTATTTCAGGAATGCAAGGATGGTTCAACATCTGCAAAGCAATTTTT